TACATATGCTAACCCCCCCCCCCCCCATATGGCCTATTTAGTGATAGATGCACATGCTACCCCTACCCCGCCCCATGTGCCTAGCCCGTTCTTGCTCCAACTGACTTTGATGCTTAGATTTTCTTAGATGCGCTTACATAGAGAGACTTTCAAGAACTTGTATCCACATTCTTCAACACAAGAGAAACATTGAGTATAACGTACAATATCCGAAAATACAATGTGCCTCACGCCATGCTCGCACTGAATTTGGAGAGTTGGTACTTCCAATACGTACACAGTCCAGGGGCATGAGCTAATATACGTAAGAGAACAGGCCTCTTACTTACGTATGCCTCAAAGTGTTGTTTACTTTGGCCGATTTCAACCATGTCAACAAACTGATTAGTAGAAGTAAGGGCTCATTCTATCGTTTAGTTTAGCTTGGCTAAATGGAATTAAGTAGCAAAATCATTTTAACTAGGGAACCATGAACCGTTGGGTAACGATTTAGGGCTCAGGGCTTCGGACCCCAAGTAGTCGGATGCTATACGGAGCGCATGCAGCCCGACTACATAGGGTCATCAACAGGGGCGGTACGGGCGTGTGTGGGACGGAAATATGCAGATGGTTTTTCAGAAAGTAAGCTGCTGAGGGGCCACTTGCTGGTTGTTGCATACAGGAGAGTGATCCCTACAAAAAAGCAAGCCCCGCATAGTCCCCAAGCCCCAATAAGCTAATCCCTCCCCACTCCAGTTTAAGCACCCGTGAGCTAGTGCCAAGGAAAGGGACTCAAATCTTTGGGATGACCCCTTTTCTATGATAACGGGATTTTGGTGGTAACCTCACCCGCAAGAAAGGGTCCCTACAGCTATCATATAAAGGCCATAGGGTCCTAATTTGGGTGTTTTGAGGTTACCAAATGCTGCTGTCCCACAACTGCTCCCTAGATTTAAGGCGAAGTCGGACCCTGTTTGGGTTAACTTGGGGAGAATGGGGAGAAAGGCAGGGTGTAGTGCAGCATCCCAAATTGAACTATACCTTTTTTTCAAGTTGCATGCTTAGCTTCCAGGAAAGCGAACACCGTTGGAATGTTTGTCTATCTGCGGAGGCTGACAGTCTTGGTTTATGTGTTCAGGGTTTGTGGCTTGGGGTTACGGCTCAAGAGTTCAGGGTGTAGGACGAGCTTCAGGGTGTCTGACCATGTTGCCTTCGTTCTGAACAGCAGTTAATAACCCAAGCCCTAACAGAGCCACCTACACCCTAAACCCGAAACCTGGCGGGCAGCTGTGGCCAAACTGTTTGGACAATCAGCTATTTGGCCTTGGCCGTGGCTCCTTTTTCACAGTGGCCTGAGTCGTTCAAGCTCGGCATTTCTTGGGAGACACTTCTAGGCCATCGTGATCTCCTGATGGGGGGGATGATTTCGTAGGCCGCGGTGCATCTCCTGCTGCAAATGCTGGCAGGAATTCTACGCCGTGGAGATCGCTGAAGGCCGCGCGCTGGGAAAGTGCCAGGCTCAGCGCGCACTGGTCAGTTGCTGGTCTTCCAGCTTTTTACCGCGCATGATGCAGTTTTGGGGAGTGGCTGGGCATCCTCCTTTCCATTGTGGGAGTTTTAGGTGAGGCTGGATGTAGTGGGTATGGTAGGCTCCCCTCACCCCTAAAAACAAACACCCCTACATAGCGTCATCATGCTACGATGGGGAACATTTGGGGGGTGGTTTAAAGGCCCTTTTAAACAAGGGACCACTGGGAATACGTGTCCTTTAAAGAGGATCCCAAGTAAACCGGGAGCTTACCTTGCATTTCGAACTATTACCATTTGTCGGGCAGTCTTATCCCCTAAACCCTAAACCCTAAGCCCTATCCAAAGGGACGCACAGGGATGATGTCCTTAGAATGTGGTCAGCTGGTTTTGTGGGTTCCTGGGCCCCAAAAGTATGTAAAATAATGGCCTTTATGGCTATTATTATGGGTTTAGGGTTTAGAGTTTAGGGTTTAGGGCAATTATTTTACATACCTTTGGGGTTTAGGTTAGGGTTGGAATTGGTCGGTCGGGTTAGTCGGTTGGCCGCGGGCGTCGAACCCTCAAGCCTGAAGCCCAAGACCAGAATCCCCAAAGCTTTCAATGTGAACCTGAGGCCCTGAAGCTTGAACATCAAACCCTCCATCCCCGAGCACCTAACACGAAAAAAACAAAGCCCAAAGCCAAAAGCAATAACCCCTCAAGATATAAAACCTTAAACCGCGTGAAGACCCGTACCCCTAGCCTCGGCTCGGAATCAACTTGACCCCAAAATCCACGGGTTTAGGGTTTAGGGTTTAGGGCCTCACCCCCCAAATCTCTTAAGCCTAGACTCTAGTCACTCTAGTCCCCAAACCCTTCTCCCAGACCACGCGCACGCAGAAACCCCAGCCCTCACCAGATGGGAGGGACAGACCCTGCTAGGGTTTAGGGTTTAGGAAGCCTTCAGATTCGCTCATAATCCCCTGCTGAGGGTCCTTTTTGAGGGTTATGCCCCACGTTGGATATTAAAAAATCTTGCATCACCGTAATTATGTGAGTTATGGTACCATTGGGAATTGTTAGTATCAACGACATTTGCGGGTCCCTAGCCGCCTAGCCCTAGTAATCTACCCTATAATCCCAAGCTTCTTTGGGAGGCAAGAGCTCTTCGCCAGAGCATACCGCAGGCAGAACGTATAATTGGGGATGAGCATTTGCGGCTTAGGGCTTGGAGAGTAGAGTTTTGGGTTTACTGTTGTTCGACGTTTGAGCTCATACATGGGCTTATACGGATGGTATTGAGGGGCAAATGTACTAAGAATATGGTTTTGGGGGATAGTTTACATTAACAATGCAGGGAAGAATGCAAATTGGTGGCCTGAAGTTTAAATCTATGGGGCTTCGAACTTCGCATGCAGGCATTATGCATTTAGCCTGAGGGCTTGGGGCTAAGGGGTGTCGTTTGCGGATTGGGCATTAAGTTCACGGCTCGAGGTTTAGGAAGGGTCCTCGCAGTCCCGGTGTATGGAGGACTTCTGAGCAAGGGTTCATAGGAGACCGTTCTGAGAGACGCTTCAGATTCATCCCCTCCCCTGATGATACAACCCCGCCCCAGAACCAATAATCCATCATAGTATACCACAATGGGAAGATTTGATATTAAGGCAGGGATGGGTGGGGGAGTGTTATGACTATACTAGCCATGGTTGCCTCCTGAACCCTATGTAAGCCCTAAACCCTAAACTGCGTAAGTGGAAGTCCAGAGTGAGTACCACCTACTTAGATTATGTTTTACGGCTGGCGCTTGCAATCCCATAACTTGTCTAGCGATTGTACTGAGAACCCACAGAGATCTGGAGCACCTGTACCTTGAGGATGTAGGATCGGGCTGTGACCAGAATTCCTAATTAGGAGCTCATTGCTTTGGACCTCCAAGTAGGAGGGAGCATTGGCAATATGTTTGGTTCTCTGCATCCATGTATCTAGCCATTCAAGTCAATCAGAACCCTAAACCCTGAAACACTAACCCCCAAGCCCTAAACCCTAAACCTTAAATTCCCACCCAGGCCTGCTTAGGCCGTACCCACCCTTCTCCAGGGTGCCTGGACCCAGAACTATATCCGGCAAGCTATTCACACCATGGCTTGGAGCTACTATGCAAGCCCAAAAAGTTTTTTAGAGGTGACCCTGGAGGTGGCCAGAAAAATCCTGAAACTTACGGTCTCCCAGGCAGGATTGAGGGACGGCACTACCAAACCCAGGAAGCTGATTCAGAAGGCCCCCCCACCCCCGGAGGCCCTAGATGCGCTCAACCCCAAATGAAGCTTCTGCTACAGCATCTGTGTCTTGCAGTCAGACTGGACAAGGCAAGTGCAAGGACAGCTGCCACAGAGATGAATCGGACACCCTGGCTGCTGGTACTCCCGTGGACCCGCAGATCACTCGCACAATACAGCGCGATGGCTGGAGCTGGGTTGGACTCAGCCCTCTGGTTCAACCTGCCAGAAGTGGAGTACCCTGCGGGAGCCGCCCCATGTGCAGGAAGAACTCCAGCCGAAGCTGGAGCTTGTGAGCTGGACTGCGGGCCTTTGATGGCAAGTGTTGAGGAGGACGTCTGAACCTTCAACCCGAAACCCTGAACCCTGGAAATCCTTCAACGGAATCTACTGACCCTGCGTCAGATTTTGTGACATTGTATGAGCCTAATTGCACGCTATCGTACACCCTTCCATCCTACATACGACTTTTTGGGGTCATTGTCGGTTTATGATTTGTACAGCTACCCCAGTAAGGAACCAGTTTTAACCACTAGGCAAACTGTGATATTGGCTCGATGAGGTCGTCGTGCATGGTAGTCGTCGTTGTTGTCGTCGTAGTAGTAGCCGTAATAGTCGTAGCAGTCGTTGTAGCGTCGTAGTGCGACGTCTTGGCCTCCTTGCCAGCCCGGCTGCCGAGGCTTATGCGCGCTAGCGCTTACAATCACCGCAGCACTCATAGTCATAGCAGTCTGCAATAACACTAATGGTGGTAGTAGTAGAAGTTGTTGTAGTTGTAGTTGTGTAGTAGTAATAGTAGTGGGAGTAGTCGTCGTAGTAGTAGGAGTAGTAG